GTTGAAAAAAGTTATTTTAATATTGGGAATCTCAATAATTTATTTCTTCTGAGGTGACAGTGTGCTTCCCTGTACCTCCGGTAGGGACACTTACCTTCCTTCTCCTGTTGAAGCACCTCTGGTCAGTCTTATTGGATCACACATCAGGGGAAGGGGAGGGGAAGTGGGTACCAGGGATGGTCAAGTAGCTGAGTCCTTGTATTAGCAATTCTAGGAGAGAAAGAAGAGATCCTGCTGCACTTTCCTGGGAATGTTATTCAGTCACCCTCTGGGAAGACTTGGGACACAAAATTGGCATAAATCTCTTTGGTGAGTCCATCTAGTCTGGGCCTAAAGTGAAGCTCCTCTTGGATCCTTGAGGCTGGATGTGAATGTAAAACTCACATTTCTCCAATTACATAATGGCGTCTCAGAAAAGTCAATGGTGAAAGGAAACAGTTGCTACAAAGCATATTATTCTAAAAATCATTTCCAACTAAACTATCTGCATTTTGAGACGCAGCACAGAAACATTTTCCTTACAAAGCATCAGACTTTGTGCTTTTACATCTAGATTTTGCTTTTTCCTTCCCTTGGATCAAACTGAGTGAACAGGAGCTCTCCCAGTTTGATGCAGGGTAGATGACTCCTTTTTAGTCTCATTTTTAGGAAGGAGTCTTCTGGGTTGGTCTTTTCAGAAGAGGGGCCTTGGGGGGAGGGTGTCCACTGCACATGCCAGCCATCTGTCCCAGTGCCTGCACCACAGACCTGTGGGCGTGGTTCCCCCTTCTCTTCTTTTTCTGTCCCCAGGGGCTGGCTTGGGGATGGCCCAATACAAACTGGAGAGGTTTTGGGTTTGTTTTTGTACTTGACCACTTTGATCTCAGACCTGTCTGATCGGCTGTTGCAGTGCTATAGCCGACACTATGAAGTGTTAAGATACCCCTTTCAACTCCAAGTACCTTCCTGTATTTAAAGCCTCCTCAATATGTATCTGCTTATTGTCTGCCATCTAGCCTCCCCCGGCTCCCCCATGCTGCTATATCCTCTCATTCAATCCTCATGTTGCACTGATTATAGCTTTATAAGTTACTGCACCTCTTCCCAGCCTAAGAGACAATAATTGCCAACCATTGCCTACAAGGAAGGGCCACATTTATTAACACACAGGCCTTTCGGATGTATCCCCAGCTTTTCTCTTTCTTGTTTTGAAGACAAAGGTCCCCAGCATTACACATTTCCTCTTCCTACTGTGCTTAGCCCAACTGAAGGCCTCATGATGTCTATAGTCATGCCACACTTCGCCACTAGAGGTTCTAAACATCACTGTTATCTTCTCTGTGTGCTCTCCTGCCTCCTCTCCTGGTGATCCCAGATCACTGATCAGCACCCAGCTCAACTGTTANTAAACATCACTGTTCTCTGCCCATGTGCTCTCCTGCCTCCTCTCCTGGTGAGCCCAGATCACGGATCAGCACCCAGCTCAACTGTTGCCTCCTTGCTGGAGCTTTCCCAGAATCCTCCAGACAGTGTTAGCTGCTCCTTCTGAATTCCCACAGCATTGTGCACACACTTTTATTTTGGTAATTATCATAGTATATTATAATTTATTTGTTATCTCTACTCTCCACCCCATGAGTTTTGGGTAGGCAGGGACTATGACATCTTTGTATTTCCAGCATCTATCATAGTATTCCTAATCAATATTTTCTGGATTAATCCATAAGTGACTGCCTAAAATCCCACCACTAGCAAATATCAGTTAGCATTGCCTTTTTACCCTCTTTTAAAAACACCTTTAATTAATGAGTTATAATTAAGAAATCATAAAATCCACATAAAATTATACATGAATTAAAATGTATAATTAATACATATATTAATAATGTATATTAAAATAAAATGTATAATTTAGTAGCTTTTAGCTAATTTACCAAGTTGTACAACCATCACAACAATTTAATTTTAGAACTTTATTGTCCCCCCAAAAATCTGTGTCCACTGCAGCACGATTTCTACACCATATACTTTCTGTCTGTATAGATTTTGGTTTTCTGCAAATTTTATATAAATGGAACCATACAACATAAGGTATTTTGTATCTGGCTTGTTTTACTTAGCATAACGTTTCTGAAGTTTATCCAAGTTGAGCATGGATCAGTAATTTATACCTTCTTATGGCTGAAAAATATTACATTGCATAGATATACCATTGCTTATTGATCCTTTCACTGGTTGATAAGACATTCAGGTTGTTTCCACTTTTGGGCTATTATGAATATGCTGTTATGAACATCTGTTTATAAGTTTTTGTGTATGCACATGTTTTCATTTTCCCTGGGTATATACAGATAAAGAAATTTTTGTGTCAGATGGTAAGTCTATTTAAAAAATTTTTTGAAGCAGCAGCACCATTTTACATTGCTACAAGAAATGCATATTCTTGTCACCTTTTGTTTCTATATGTGCTTTTTATTTNCATTTTACATTGCTACAAGAAATGCATATTCTTGTCACCTTTTGTTTCTATATGTCCTTTTTATTATAGCCATTCTAGTGGGTGTGAAGTGGCTTTAATTTTCATTTTGCTAATGACTGAGCATTTTTTTATGTGCCTATTGGGCATTTGTAGGTCTTCTTCGGTGAAATATCTACTCAAATCTTTTGCTCACCCCCCCATTGGATCATTTTTCTTATTACTGTTGAGTTATAGGAATTCTTTATATACTTTTTATACAACTGCCTTATCAGAGATATGATTGTAAATATTTTCTCTCAGTCTGTGGCTTTCTCGTTTCACTTTCTTGATCGTGTTTGTTGAAATGTGAAAGTTTTAAATGTTTTAAACATTGTATTATTTTTTCTTTTATTGCTGTGCTTTTTCATATCTGAGGAGTCATTGCCTAACCAAAGGTCACAAAGATTTACTTCTATGATTTCTTCTAAGAGTTTTATAGTTTTAGGTCTCATATTTAGATATATTACTCCTTTTGAATTTTGTGTATACGGTGTGAGATAAGGATCCAAGTTCATCCTTTTACAGATGGATATCTGATTGTCCCAGAATCAGTTGTTAAAAGACTGTCCTCCCCCCACTGAATTGTCCTGGTATCTTTGTTAAAAGTCAATTAACCATAAATGTAAATGTTTTATTTCTTGATTCTCAATTCTATTGCATTGGCTCATATGTGTATTCTTATGCCAGTACCACACCGACTTGATTATTGTAGCTTTGCAGAAGTTTTGAAATTGGGAAACTAACTCTTCTGACTGTTCTTTTTTTCAAGATTGTTTTTGCTATTTGAAGCCCTTAGCATTTCCATACAAATGTTATGATTAGCTTGCCAATTTCTGCAAAAATGCTAAAGAGGATTGTGTTAAATGTATAGATGAGCCTGTGAATTGTTGCCATTTTAACAATATTGTGTTTCTCAATTCATGAACATATCACATCTCTCCATGTATTTAGGTCATCTTTAATATTTTTGGCAATGCTTTTCAGTTTTCAGTGTACAAGCCTTCACTTTTGTTAAATTTTTTTGCTAGTATTATGTCTAGGGTTTTTTGTTTGTTTGTTTGTTTGTTTGTTTGTTTGTTTTTGGTGCATGAATATCTTAGATTTTTTTTATATACAAGATCATGTCACTTGCAAATCATGACAGGTTTACTTTTTCCATTCTAACCTGGATGACTTTTATTTTTTTTCCTAGTCTAATTTCCCTGGCTAGAATCTCCAATGCAATGTTAAGTAGAAGANCCAATGCAATGTTAAATAGAATTAGTGACAGTGGATACATCTTTGTCTTGTTCCTTTTTATTCTTTTAAAAACACAGTTACTTCCTTGCCCAGGTGGCTCAATTGGTTAGTGTCGTCCTGATGTGCCAAGTTTGCAGGTTCAGTCCTGGGTCAGGGCACATACAAGAATTAACCAATGAATGCACAAATAAGTGGAACAAGAAACCTATGTTTCTTTCTCTCTCTCTCTCTCTCTCTCTCTCT